TATATATATATATATATATATATAGTATATTGTACAATTTTATTTTAGTTTTTCTGAAAGCTTAATCATTACCTGTTAGATTCTACCCTATGTGTCTGTTAGCAAAAAATCTTATCAATCACTGCACTGATTTCAATAAATCTCCCAGCTAATAATTGTTGGGTGTATAAATACATCTGATTAAGTTTGGGAGTCAACACAATTTAAGGTGGTTGCTACAGCTAATTGACCTTAGCAAACACAAAAAATGGCTTCAAGTCAGTGAATTTCACAGAGTTTGAGATAAATGGGTGCGGTAGTCAATGAGAGTTGTTTCTATCACAAACTTTACAACTTTAAAGTCATTGGATCAAACTTTAGTGTGCAATTCTGCAGGCAGGATGCATTCCTTCAAAGGATGCAAATTTTTAATTTACTGAAGTTTTATCACATCAAAACTGCTGATTTTATTTGAAAATTAGAATGTGAATGTTTCTTTCTGTTCCTTCTCTTGTTTCCCAGAAGAGGATGACTTCAGCAGCAACATTGAAGGAGTATATTTGGGTGAATATCTAAACTCTAAAGCAGAAACACCTGTTTCTCAATGTTTGGTCTCCAACATCTTTGATTTCACCATCAGCGGGCTTCAGGCGCAGCATGCGTCTGTGTCGGCGACGCTCTCAGAGCACCACCCAGCCATCCTGTCACACCCGCTGTCCGAGCAGCTGCCACAACTCCCTCAGCACCCCCTACGAGGAGGTGGTTCATTACCAACGCCACCCGGAGAATGCTCACCGCCTCATCGTCCTCGCAGGTGCCAAAACAACTCAGTTTGAAATATGCCGCTTCTAGAGTTCTTTCAAAAACATTAACTCTTAGTTATAACACCCCTTGCATGTATTTCTGTGTAAGGAAACTTTCAGTATTTTTGATAATAAATAAGAAAACATGCTCCTCCTCAGGCCCGTCAGGTGTGGGTGTGAACGAACTCCGGAGGCGTTTGATTGAAATGAACCCAAATGTTTTCCATGGACCTGTACCTCGTATGTACCAGTCATCACTTTGTGTTTCAACTTACGTCAAAAGTCATGAAATTCATATTTGTGTCTGTTTGTTTGTCAGAAATTAACCCTGGATACACATCTATATCCATTTGACTAACTGGAGTCAACCTAATTCAAGATGGCTGCCACAGCTTTTTGAACTCCAGTGGTTCCTAACCATGGTCCTTGAGGAACGCCATCCTACATGTTTTACTTGTTTCTCTGCTCCAACACACCTGATTCTGTAATTACTTAAGTTTGACAGAAGCCTGTTAATCACCCTTTAATTCAAATCAGGTGTATTGGAGCAGAGGAGCAGCTAAAACAAGCAGGGTGGTGTTCCTCAGGGACCAGGGTTGGGAACCATTGACATAGACAACACAAACATTTCTGTAACTCAGTGGGCTTTGCAGATATTGAGCTAAAAGTTGGTGTGGTAGTAGCTTAGATTCATCCCCAACACATACTCCTGGTGCCAACAGATCATGAGATCTTACATTAAATTACTTGCAAAGTTTGACCAGATTAAAATAACGTCAAGTCTCAGACTTGTTCTTCCTCCGTGATTAGACACCACACGAACTCCCCGAGGATACGAGGAGTTCGGCAGAGAGTATTATTTCACTAGTCGGGAGGTCTTCGACAACATGATCTACAAAAACAGGTGCGGTTGCTGGTTTTTCTGTTTTAAAACGCATCTTTCACTGAATTTGAATGACTTTATCCATTGAAGTTATTCATTTTAAACACTTCAACCTAACGTTAAGGACTGCTAGTACTTGTATGTTTTGTCAAAAGAGAAGAACTCATGTCTGTACAGGTTTCTGGAGTACGGTGAGTACAAAGGAAATCTTTATGGGACCAGCATCGATGCTGTGAAGGAAGTTCTGAACAGAGGGAAGATCTGCATTGTTGACATCGAGCCAAACGTGAGTCTAGTTCTACACGTAAAAAATTCTGGCTTAAAATAAAATCAAAGCGGTTTAATTTGACTTTGTCTCAATATTTAGGCTGTGCAGGCAGTGAGGACCCATGAATTGAAAGCCTTCATCATCTACATAAAGCCTCCCCCTCTGGAGCGCCTCAGGGTCACCAGAGAGAACTCATACATCACCACCAACTATTACGTCAACCGACCATTTAAAGTATGCTTCCTGGTGGTTGTTTAAATTTGTCCAAGCTGGTCTAAGTCACTTTTCTCATGCTTGTCTTCTCGTCTGACTATAGGGCATTAAAAATAACTCAAAATAATGCAAACAGGCCTTGTGGGAGGGTTCAGACTAAGAGTGATTCAAAAACCTCGATGGATCAACAACAGAGTAATCAGGATACCTCACCCAGAAAAGGGAAGCAGGGGCACCTACCTGGAGCCAGGCCTGTGAGGTGGGGGATTGGAGCTCACCAGCAAGTAACTGGTGGTCGAGCCTTGGCTCCTGTGGCTCGGCCGGGTTGAGCCCAAAGAAGTGATAGGAAGCCACCGTCACCACCTGCAGGGAGGGCTGTCAAAGTTGGATGCAAAGCAAGTTGAGTGGCAGGTGAGGGCGGTATGCCAGTTCTTGGTGGCAGAGACTGCTTCTAGGGACTTTGGACAGTATGTCACTGGTGGGTAAGGAGCCGGAGTTGTGTGTGAGGTTGAGCGCTACCAACTACATATAGTTGGGCTCACCTCTATGCACAGTTTAGTTTCTGGAACTCAACTTCTGGAGAGAGGCTGGCATCTCTCCTACCCCTGAGTTGCCCAGGAAGATAGACATTGGGCAGAGGTGGGGATACTCACAAGCCCATGGCTGGATACCTTGGTGTTGGAGTTTTCCCTGGTGAATGAAAAGTTGCCTTTCTGCAGCTTCTGGCTGCAGGAGGGAAGATTCTGACTGTTATTTGTGCTTATGTGCCAAACATCAGTTCAGATTACCCGGTCTTTCTGGGGTTTTTGAATGGTGTCCTGGAAGTGATGCAATCTGTGGATTCCCTTATTCTACTGGGTGACTTCAATGCCCATGTGGGTAAAGATGGAATTATCTGGAAGGAGGTGATTAGGAGGAAAGGCCTCCTTGATCTGAACCAGAATGGTGTTAATTGGACCGCTGTTCTAGCATTGGTTGACCATACTCCCTAACAAACACCATGTTTGAGCATAGGGTGGTTCATAAGTGTATCTGTTATCAGGTCACCTCAGGCCAAAGGTTGTTGATCGATTTTGTAATCATGTCGTCGGAACTGCAGCCCTATATCTTGGACTCTTGGGTGAAGAGAGGAGTTTAAATATCTGGGCATTTTGTTTACGAGTGATGGTAGAATGGAGCGGGAGATAGATTGATGGAATGGGGCTTTGTCCTCAGTAATAAGGGCATTGCTTTGGTCTGTTGTGGTGAAGGAAGAGCTGAGTCAAAAGACAAAGCTCTCAATTTACTGGTCTATCTCCAACTCTCACCTATGGTCAGAGGGTTGGATCATGACCAAAAGAAGGAGATCCCGGATACAAAGCGGCCGAAATGGGCTTCCTTCGTAGGGTGGTCAGGTTCAGTTTTAGAGATAAGGTGAGGAGCTCCATCATCTGGAAGTAGCTCGAAGCAGAGCTGCTGCTTCTCTGCAACAAAAAGAGTCAGTTGAGGTAGTTTGGGCATCTGATTAGAATATCTCATGGACATCTCCCTTTAGAGGTTTTCCAGTAGGAAGCCTCGGGGAAGATCCAGAAAATGTTGGAGAGATTGGGTATCTTCTCTGGCTTTGGAACACCTCAGTGTCCCCCCAGAACAAGCTAGAACATGCCACTGAGGAGAGGGATGTCTGGGTTTCTCTTCTGGACTTGTTACCTCCCCAGCTAGACTATGAATAAGTGATAGAAGATGAAGATGAATATGAAGAAAAATAACTCCTTTCCAGTGTCGTAAAATATAGGGACTCAAATTTAAGGAAGGGAAGCCTGCGATTGTCTTCATTGTACATTCCCATACAATGGTGAAATTAGTTATCTGCATTTAACCCATCACATGTGAGATACACTCAGGTGGAGCAGTGGGCAGATATGCAAGTGCCCGGGGAGCAATTGGGGATTAGGTGTCTTGCCCAGAGACACTACAACATGTGAGAATGTATTTACAATGCATTGTTGAGTATATTCTGTAATACAATAATGGTCAATCAGGTCATCTGGACAGTTTATTTTTTGTGGAAAGATGTTTCGCTCTCTATCCGGAGGGCTTCATCAGTCTGAGGAGTCCCAAGTAAACTGTTTTCCCCACTAAGCAGTACACTCTTTTAGTGGACCAACCAGTTTGCTGGTGATAAGATGGTTTCTGCGGGCTGTCCTGTCCCCCGTCGACTCCTCCTCCTCCCAGAAACCATCTTATCACTAGCAAACTCGTTGGTACACTAAAGGAGTGCTTAGTGGGGAGAACAGTTTACTTGGGACCCCTCAGACTGATGAAGCCCTCCGGATAGAGGGTGAAACGTCTTTGCATAAAAAAGAAACTGTCCAAATGACCTGATTGACCATTATTGGATTTTGTACCTGGATGATTGAGCATGAACTTTGATGTCTTGAACCACTTTGGCTGTGTCTGCCTGCCTGGGAGTAGTCGACGGGGGACAGGACAGCCCCCAGAAACCATCTTATCACCAGCAAATTGGTCGTTCCACTAGAGGAGTGTACTGCTTAGTGGGGAAAACAGTTTACTTGGGACTCCTCAGACTGATGAAGCCCTCCAGATAGAGGGCGAAATGTCTTTACACAAAAAATAAACTGTTCAGATGACCTGACTGACCATTATTGGATTTTTTACCTGGATGATAGAGCATGAACTTTGATATTCTGTAATACATTTCACATTGCAAATAGTACCCAAACAGATTAACTGAAAATATAAAGAAAAACTTTATGTGAGCTACATAAATTCAAAAGGTTATTATTGGTAACATTACTATACCAGAAATTGAAACTGGAACCAGATTTATTTGGGGGTTTCTGTCTACAGGATGAAGATTTCCAAGAGATGGAGGAAGCGGCGAAGAAGATGGAATCTCAGCTCGGGCACTTCTTTGATCAGGTGATCGTGAACGATGAGTTGCAGGACTCCTGTGTCCAGCTGTTGACAGCGGTGAGTAAGGCGCAGGATGAGCCTCAGTGGGTCCCTGCCAGCTGGATACGACCCACAGCCGAACAGTGAGAGCAGAAAGCAGGACATAAAAACTAATTTGGGTCAATGGAAAAAAAAATAATAATTCTGCAAAGATGAAGAATCTCAGCCTGGAAGGTCAGCAATTGGATGTCTGAGGCAAAAAATGTAAATACTTTGATCTGCGTGTTTGGTGAAATCTGGTTCTTAATTTGCTTTAAATCCCTGATGATACAAAGCTGGACTGAAGCCTAAGAAATCCCTGAAACTGTGTCAGAGTCTGTCATGGTTTTAATTTTTTGCTCCGATCAGTTTTTAGTTATGTTGGAGCTACATGGTGTTTACAAAAAAATTCTGCTCTGCTCCATACTCTTGTATTCACAATTAGCAAATATGAATGTGATTGTGTGTGTTTACAATCTAGAAAATAAAGTATTAATGTTATTCGGACTTGCTTTCAATGTTATACTGTAGCCTAATTTTTATTATTGCATGCCAAATGTTTCTTGAATAAATAACTCGTTTGGTAGTTTTTCTTGAGCTTCTGCCTCGTTTTATTAAAACTATAATGTGTGAGAAGGAAGGATTTCAAAATAAAGTATAACAAAAGAACAATTGAAGCAGAGGCAGTGACATATTTATATCCGTTTTTAACTTTAATAAAGAAACGCGTACAGTAATATTAGTAATTGTAACGAGTCTCCATTTAGTCATTTAGAAGACTCTCTTGATTTTCACAAAGAAGGGGAGCTTTTATTTTGAAGCTCGTACGTGCTGCACGTAAGTACATCCGGGTAACGGACGTCGCTTTTAAAGAAAACGTCGCTTTTTGGGCTTTAAACGAGTGTTTCTCATAAATTCGATGTAAGCTGACGAAAATGTTGCCGGAAGAATAATTAATTTTGAGTTTTTAAGTAAAAAAAATCGAAGAATGGACACGGGAGACTCGAATGTAGGTACTTATTTATGAATAGCAGCTCCTCTTCGCTCATTTTAAATGAGTTGTTTAGGAAACAGCTAAATCTTAAATTAGTCTTTGAAGTGCCGACTTCCAGTGTTAGCTTGCTAGTTTGAAGCCTCTGAGATGTGTTTATAATATGATAAATTGTTATAACTCCTCGTTGGTTTTTCTTTTAATGTTTAGAAAACTAGGGTCAGGGAGCTGCCTCCTCTTCCACAGGTCAGTATCCATTTTTTGTTTTTATTACAAAACTTTATCAATTTTACAAACAAGTGTCTGCCATATTAGCAGGTACAAAAGTAGTAGTATACAAGTATAGAAAAGAACAATATGATTATAAAATGGTACGAAATGTAAAAAAAAGTCTAAAGATACAAAACAATCTATTTACATGTTATATAGATAAATTCACATCAAGTTTTTCTTGAAGTGAGTTGGTTTTCATTGCCTTTTTGTTTTCAAGTCCTTTAACAGTGGTGCTGTATGTGTTAAAGTTCCTTGCTGAAGTGTTTGTCTTGGAGTTTGACCACTTTTTCTTGTGAATGTGGAGTTTTCCCAGGAGAAGTAGAAGTTGGGTGAAGTAGATCAAGTCTTTGTCCAAATCATTATCATCGAAGCATAATATAATGTCTTTCTCTGCGAGTTGAATTATTTGTCCAGTTTTCTATTGTATGAGTTGTTGTACATCTGTCCAGAATGTCTTTGTGTGATTACACTGATGGAATAAATGAGAGATTGTTTCCATGTGTACCACATAACTAGGTTTGTTCCACTTTGGAGTAAGCTGTTTGGGGGAAAAATGTTGGGTTTCCATGTGTAGTTCACAAAATGTACACGAGTAGTCATTATCAAGTTTAAATCTTTCCAGTGTTTTTTTTTTTAACAGGCTGTGGCTGAGTGGTTAGAGCAGTCGTCCTCCAGTGCAAAAGTTGGGGGTTCGAATCCACCAGCAGTCACATGCCGAAGTGTCCCTGAGCAAGACACTGAACCCCTCATAGCCTCCGACGTGTGTCCCGTCGGTGTATGAATGTGATAAAGCACTGATTAGTCTCTTTAGAATGACTTGTTCAGTTAGCTTTGTATAGATATAGAGTGCTGTATGAATGGGTAAATGAGGGCACAGATTGTAGTGTAAAGCACTTTGAGTATCTTGATCAGATAGAAAGGTGCTATATAAATACAGTCCATTTACCATTTACATTATGATTGATTTTATATGAAACCTCTTTAACTTGTTCTGCAAAATTTTTCCCCATTTAACCAAACTTGTTTCCAATTAATTTCTCCAAAAGTAGAGGACCAAAACAAAATCTACCAGGAGGTAAAGTAATCTTCTGCAGACATGATCTTATAAGTTTGTTGGAACATGTTTTTTTTTTTAGTGCTTATCCATTTCACCTAGCATTATGAGGCTTCTAAGTTGATCTGTAGATGAATGATGAGGTTTTGTTCCTTTGAAGAGTCGCATCATGGAGTTTGGTAGAGCATCAAAAACTACAGCATGCTCTTTAGGTGTTACAGGTGTGTGAAATCTGGTCAGAAATTCAGTGTATGACAAAATGTATGACATCATTTAACAGCTGTTGGACAAGCATAATTCCATTATCCATCCAGTTTTTATAGTGAAGTGACTTATTCTTATACAGAATATTCCCATTGTTCCAAATGTAGTACGTAGTTGGAGAAGCCAGGAGAGCCTGTTGGTGAAATTTTGATAACTTTATAGGTAACTTTTCAATTTTATAATAGCATTTTACAAACCGGATTCCAAAAAAGTTGGGACACTAAACAAATTGTGAATAAAAACTGAATGCAATGATGTGGAGGTGCCAACATCTAATATTTTATTCAGAATAGAACACAAATCACAGACCAAAAGTTTAAACTGAGAGAATGTATCATTTTAAGGGAAAAATCTGTTGTTTCCAAATTTCATGGCGTCAACAAATCCCAAAAAAGTTGGGACAAGTCCATTTTTACCACTGTGTGGCATCCCCCCTTCTTCTTACAACACTCAACAGACGTCTGGGGACAGAGGAGACCAGTTTCTCAAGTTTAGAAATAGGAATGCTCTCCCATTCATGTCTAATACAGGCCTCTAACTGTTCAATCGTCTTGGGCCTTCTTTGTCGCACCTTCCTCTTTATGATGCACCAAATGTTCTCTATAGGTGAAAGATCTGGACTGCAGGCTGGCCATTTCAGTACCCGGATCCTTCTCCTACGTAGCCATGATGTTGTGATTGCTGCAGAATGTGGTCTGGCATTATGTGTGGAAAAATGCAGGGTCTTCCCTGAAAGAGATGACGTCTAGATGGGAGCATATGTTGTTCTAGAACCTGAACATAGTTCTCTGCATTAATGGTGCCTTTCCAGACATGCAAGCTGCCCATGCCACAAGCGCTCATGCAACCCCATACCATCAGTGATGCAGGCTTCTGAACGAAGCGTTGATAACAACTTGGACTATCCTTGTCCTCTCTGGTCTGGATGACATGGCGTCCCAGTGTTCCCTAAAGAACTTCAAATCGTGACTCGTCTGACCACAGAACAGTCTTCCATTTTGCCACACTCCATTTTAAATGACCCCTGGCCCAGTGCAAACATCTGAGCTTGTGGAGCTTGCTTAGAAATGGCTTCCTCTTTGCACTGTAGAGTTTCAGCTGGCAACAGCGGATGGCACGTGGATTGTGTTCACTGACAATGCTTTCTGGAAGTATTCCTGAGCCCATTCTGTTCTTTCCTTGACAGTGGCATTCCTGTTTGAGGTGCAGTGACGTTTAAGGGCCCGGAGATCACGAGCATCCAGTAGAGTTTTACGGCCTTGACCCTTACGCACAGCGATTGTTCCAGATTCTCTGAATCTTTTGATG